TATTGGAACACAGTGCAAAAAGGGGTGGAACTACATTATCTAACTAGTGGTGGGAATTCCTTTTGACTAGCTAACTACTTTTTTTCATTGGACCTAACTACCACCATCCTCCGCAGGTTTGGGTTGCTGCCTCTCAGCATGTCCAACGTGCGCAAATCAAAGTCGGCCTCCAGGAGCTCAGATGCTCATCACCAGATGGTGAGTAATAGAGCCGGGCTCTGGTGTCTGACACTGTTTTGTTTCACTGCTCTTGTTCCATATGCTGCCAACCACAGTACGTCTTTATTTCTCTGTTTCATTGTTTCCCTCCACTCTGGGTTAATGTTGTCTGTTACAACCTCTGCCTTCCCAGCATTTTTGAGTGCGAGATATCCAGGCAAGTTCATCAGTGTGGGTTTATTTGTGTGTGGGTTTATTTGTGTGTGTGTGTGTGTGTGTTTTGGTAATATTGTCAGTAGTGCCTTGGTTTGCGCCTTGGTTTGGTGCATTTGCAGTGTGACAGTATGTTATTTACTGATGGGTTGAACTAAAGAGTGCTGCTCTGCTCTTTTCTTCTCACTAATCTCTGCCTGGGCTCTGAATGTAGCTCAGGATCAGCACAGCAACAGTAACCCTGGGGCATTTTTACTTGTTTGAGTGGACCAATCCCATCTTGAGAGTGACACATTATTACTAAAGTGTGTGTTGAGCAGAAATAAAAATAAAAAAAATCTCAAGTTAGGATTTGTCCAGAATCCCTCATTTCCCTGTTCCTTGTTGACATTTTGGGAAAATAATTTAGTTTGCTTTCTGATCAACAGTCACACAATGACATCAGTATCAGTTTGCTTTGGAGCTATAAGAAGCTGGATTTTATCACTGAGCATGGCCAGCAGGTTTCCCCTGTTAAGCTAGGCTAAACAGGTCCCATCTCCTAAACAGAAAAACACAACCATACACCTTCTGAATTCAGGTTTCTCTCTGAAATGAATTCTAGCTTAATTGCCTTGTTTAGTCATCGTAAAACACATTTCAGACTTGATAGGAACAAAAATACTGTCTTGGTTAGTCTGTAGATTTTAAGTTGAATATTAAAGAAGTTTGACTTTACATGGTGTTGCTGCCGCTGTAATGTCTGACCTCCACTATGAATTATGTATTCCCTGTTGTCAAACTGGTCGAAATAAACTCAGAGTTAGATGTGAAAATGTTCTGGCTGTATAGCTTCTTACTCGTTCTTCGGCTCACTGTGACCATCAAATTATCTAAATAAAATGACAAAAAATCCACCCAATATATTCGTACAATTGCACAATCTGGGTGACTGGGTGGATCTAAAGAACCAGTGTGTACGATTTAGTGGCATCTAGTGGTGCAGTTGCAGATTGAAGCTCACTCATTTCACCCTTTTAACTGCAAGAGAAAAGTTGGCCCCACATTTGCACAAAAAGCACAACTGGCCCTATCTATTAGTGTTTGGTTAGTCTATTCTGGGCTAGAAACATAGTGGTTCAACATATGAACGGCTCATTCTAAGGTAACAAAAACACAATGATTCTTATATTCAGGTGATTATACAGT